ATGCTAATGCTTAGACCGAGGGTGCATCCAAGTTGCTTTGTATTTGTTTGCCTGTTGGAAGAATGTGCTTGCAATAGCAAGCTCATGCTGTGCACAAGTTTGAAGAAGAAGAGTGCCATTTGAGTTCTCACTTCCAATACCATGATGTCCAAGCGCCTTTGGCCATGTGATATAGCCCTGACCAACTCTAGCATTAAAATCACCCAGTGTATATATAGCTTTGATTTAAAAGGTACTGAAGAGATCACTGAATTCAGTCTAGTGTTGAAAGCCTCCTTTTCATCATCTGCAGCTGTCAAAGTGGGCGCATATGCACTAACAAGTACAAGGCATTGTCCCTGTCTCAGTCTAAGCTTTGCGGTCATAAAGCGAGGACTGATGGCATGTGGCTTGGATTCAAGCTGGGGGACTAGTGGTGTCCTGATGGAAAAGCCAACTTCTGCTTGCTTTGAATAACCCTCAGGGTAGCCCACACAGTAGAATGAGTAGCCTGCTCCAACCTCTGTGAACCGGCTGGTACCAGAAATACGTGTTTTACTTAAAGCTGCTACATCAATTTTATAACATGCAAGTTCTCTACCAATGATTGCTGTCCTGCATTCATGGCAGTCATCATGATCAAGAAGTGTGCATACGTTCCAGGATGTAAAGCGTAGTTTCTGCTTAGTCGTTTTTCCCTTGTGACTGCAAAAATTGGATATCCAGTTGGTCGCACTTAGGCGACAGGGCGCAGTTGGAACAAACTGTGTTTAGGGATTATTTTCTCTCCCCCCTCTTCTTTTGAAGAAAGCAGCACAGTCCCTAAATAGGGCTGCTTTGACGCCCAGGCCGGATACGGGAGCTGCTGCTGTTCCAATTCAGCAGACAGACGGCCATCACACCTGGGCTGCCTGTGTGCAGGTTTGTGACTAAATGCTTCCAGTGGTATTCTCCACCTGCATACGACAACATTTGTCCATCAGGGTGTGTCTAGACTACAGGGTTTTGTCGACAGAAACTGTTGACAAAGCTTCTGTTGACAAAGAGCATCTAGACTACAGCCAGTTCTGTCGACAAAGTAAGCCGCTTTGTCGACATAACAATGTGGACGCAAAGGACAGTGTAGATGCAATAATGCCTTCTATCGACAGAACTCTGTCAACAAAAGGCGTTATTCCTCATAGAATGAGGTTTACATACGTCGACAAAACTGCTGAGGAGATACGCAGGTATAGTTTTGTCAACAAAAGTCCACTTTTGTCGACAAAACCCTGTAGTCTAGACACACCCACTCCGTAGGACTTTCATCAAGAGGTAAATCTTTAGTGTCAAGAGAGATACTGCAGTATAAAGGAGCACTTATATCGGTGGGAGAAACGAGTATAGACATGCACAACTAGATTGATGCAAATTGGCTTACCTCAGCCTATGTTTGTAGTATAGTCTAGGCCTAAGTGTAGTAGAATTTGAGCCATAACTGTATGAGGAGAGGTAGTTATAACATGTTTAAAATTTGTAGAGTAGCTGGGATGTTTCTAGATCAGTGTTTTTCAAAGTGGTCTGCGAAGCCATGTGTTTGTCACTGTTACACCTTAAATTTAATATGGATTAAGACAGGGAAAAGGGTCTAAATGAACTCAGAGCTGGAAGGTAAAATGTCTTCATCTCTCTTTTCATAACCAAAGTGTATTAGCTGTGTGAGATTCAGATTTAATTGCTGATTTCTTTGCCTGGCCCTATTCTTTTCCCGCTGATAGTTCAACTTCTTGTAGGGTGAAACATGAATAATTGGGAAGGAACAGTGGAAACTGTATTAATAGCTGGCTTTGGTGTCTTTCAGCAATTACTTGGCTAGAACTATGGAGTGGAGCTTCATTTTGTTGATTTATAGTATGTAGAAATCCTTATCCTCAAATGTTATGAAGTATCAGTGACCTCTTACTTGACATTTTGCTCAGATTACACAGAAGATGGTGTTAAGTCTTTCTTTGGTTAAGGGATGTTCATGGAAAACTGTCTATAAATGTAAGCATGAATTTAAATGATCAGATATTTACACACAAATGCTATGGATTAAATTGTTCTGTCTCTTGATTCCCTGAAACATGAACGTTCTCTGTTTCTAATTTTTTTGTCTCTCTTGCCTTCCTGTTTTTTTCATCTGCTGATGCTCCACATATTGTTGCATCTGGTGGAGGTGGAATAGCTCCCCACCCTTCTTTTCCTTTTTCCTTCTCTCCTCCTTTGGCTGCCCAGGCAGCATTGAGTCACTGAATGACATAAGGCAGCATAATTCTTCCCCTGTTCATCTTCTCCTTTAGGATTTTTTCCTCAATTCATCCTAATGTTGTGGTTGTGTTGGTCAAAATGGGCCACTGGAGCAGGGTGTGCGCATATGTAAAGATTACTTGTGGTAATCATATATAGGGCTCACCAAACTGCGGCGAGCCCCGCTCGCCAGCCACGCGGTTTGGTGCACTGCGCATGCGCTGACCACGCTGCTCGGCTGTGCCAGCTTGTAATCTACTCGCCATGGGCAAGTAGATTACATTAATTGTCGAGCCCTGAGCATATATAATTATACTAGAAGATTTAGCTGGTGTTGCTCAGATCATTAGCTCAGTTTTTGTTTTTTGGCAAATAAAATGAAAATGTACTTGGTTCATTTAAATCAGGTTGGGGAAGCTTTTTGGGGCTGCACACAAGTGAAAAGAAAAAAACCCCAAAAACCCTCACTTGACTTGGTCCCCAAACTGAGGAGAAAGACACTCCCCACATTCTCCTCCCACTCCAGACCCTAGGGAGGCCCAGCTTGGTAAATTTTGTGTGCTCCAGTCCTGTAGTGGGGCAATGTGCAGGTTGGTGTGCCAGCACGGGCTCTCCAATGCTGGGGGGGGAGGGCCCTGAGCTTTGGGATCCAAATCCAGGGCAAGCTGAGGTCCACACCCAGCCCCCGAGCTTGAGGTTCCTCACCCCTGATTTAAATCATTGCTCTGGAGTGTGTTTAGGAATGAGGGGTTCAGTCTGCAGGCTGCCCTGAGAGAAGGCTGCCCCAGCCCTCTCTCACTGCAGCAGTTTGTGGCCAGGGTGAGAAGCACCTGTCCCATGGCTTCTGCAGCTCTATTGGGCACAGCTGGTTGTGGCAGGTCCAAGTTACTCTGCTCCCTGTTCATCCCAGCCAGAGTAAGGAATGCAGAAAACTGGGCACTTCTCCTCGCTCCCTGACGAAGAGGAACAGCTAGCAATGTCTCTGTACGAATCGGGGTGGGATGAACTTCAGTCCTCCTCATCTTTCCTAAAGGGTGTCTGTTGGGGTGACAGGCTTGGGGCAGCCCCCAGGCAACCTTTTTCACCTCTCTGGTGATTCTGACATTTATTTTTCTGTTTGTTTTATTAAAAGTAATCCTATTCTAAGCACATTCAGTTTTCCTGGCACAATCAAACCCTTACTTTAAGTTAGTTTTTCTCAAAGTGGGCTTCCCACAGCTCCACTTGACTGGAAACGTCTAGCTGGAGCCAATGGGAGCTGTGAGTCTACAGACCCTTTATCTAAACAATGCGACGTAGGCCTGTTAGCGGGTTTTCCTAAGCGGGCCTGCGGTCCACTTTTTGAGAAACACTGCTTTATGTTATGATAAGAGGAAGCTGCACACCAAATTTGGTGATCTAGCTCTTACTGTTTAGGAGATGTTCTTGAACAGACAAACACTCAGACGGTCAGACAAACTCTCTCAAATATATAGTAGATATGAAGCTGTTCTTATTAAACATAAGAAAAGGAAAGATTCTGAGCTGACACACTTATTGTCAGAGGTAATCTTTTTATTTCCTTAGAAAAATACATTTGAAGCTAGATACAGGGGTAGTATATCCTGAATACTGCCAAAAAGTATGTTATGTATGCCCGGATAATCACTGACTCTTAGATTGTAGATGAAATTAAAATAGGCCATATTAGGGATGTTAAATTTTGATTAATTGGCTATTCGAATAGTCAATGCAACTTGCATCAACTATTCGATTAGTCAAGAAGGGTGCTTCCACCTTTGAAGTGTAGCAACAGCCCCAGGGTAACTCCGAGTCCCCATCTGACCCTGGGCTCCATGCGGCACTGCTGCTTTGAAACGCCGCGGGGAGCCAGGTGTCAGGAGTCCCCAGCTGACCCCAGGCTGCACGTGGTGTTTCAAAGCAGCAGACCCTGGGCTCCATGCGGCACTACCGCTTTGAAATGCTGCATGCAGCCCAGGCAAGCTGGGGACTCCCTGGTCTGTCCCCAGGCTCCATGTGGCACTGCCACTTTGAAGCGCCCCCTTCTTCCCCCCCCCCCCCCCGCTGCCTCTTTCTGATAGAGGCAGCAAGTGTGTGTGTGGGGGGGGGGGCTGAGAGGGGGGACAAAACGACTAGTCAACTAGTGTGTTGACTTGTCATTCACATCCTAGGCCATATAGTCCATTGTATCAGTATTGTAGGAAACTGTTTTGGTTGATGTGCCATGATGTCTGTCAGATCAAGGAACTGTCCATTTTATAAAACCAGCTTCTAACACAGGAGTAATATGTCTTTATTAAGGCTTTGTCTACATTTAACAGTTTAAAGCACAGAGCTTTAACTGCAAATGTGGCCCCACATTGGCACTTTACAGCACTGTAACTTGCTGCACTCCATGTGTACGTGTGTATTTTCACTCCCAAAGCCAGAAAGTTAAAGCGCTGTAAAGTGCCAGTGTAGACTTGGCCTAAGAGAGAACTTAGTAGCAAGCACTCGGGAGTAAAGTGGAACAATTTACAATTGAGACTATACACGTCTTATTGCTTGATTTTTTTCCTCCTATAGAGAAACTTGCTAAGCTAGCTATTAAAGGAAACCATTAACAATATTGATTAGCCTGTTGATTTTCTTAAAGATTTTTGGATGATCTCGTGCAATAATGATAAAATGCTCCTTCTTTCAGACATACTTAGCCACAGTTATTACAAAGTGTTGTTAAACTCTTTCATGCTTTTTTCCTTTTTCTGCTTCAGATAGTCGTTTGGAAAAGATACAGTGACTTTAAGAAACTGCACAAAGATCTCTGGCAAATTCATAACAACATATATAAGCATACAGAATTGTTTCCACCTTTTGCCAAAGCAATAGTATTTGGTAAGCATATCTTCTTTTTGAATTGCTGAAATTGAATTGTTTGATAATAGCTAATGAGTCATAAATATATCTCATTCTCAAGGCGGTCAGCCACTCCTTTGTATGTGCAATTGATAAAACTTATGTTGGTTTTAATAGTCAACTCCTTTTGTCTTATGAGGATCTTAATAATATATGGGATGGATCGCAGTTCCATGGTTTAAAAATGTGATTTGTTCTGAAGATATCTGACTAACTTAGACCGTATCCTCTTGTTTGCTTCAGATAAACAATGATGTCTTTTGGGTGTTTATGGATGCATGTTACACTTCACAGGCATAAAATCTTGAGTTCCCTGTTCTGAGCAGTTTGCAGTACAGTAGACTTCCAATAATCCAGCACCTTTGGGATTTAGATGGTGCCGGGTTATCGGATATGCTGGAGTACCAGCAGGTATTATAAGGGGGCATACTCCCAACCCAATCCCTCTCCCCACATTATGCTCGGGTCCCGGAGCCGCCGGTACAGCTGCCCGTCTCTCTTCAGGCGCTGGGGCACGTGCGCTGAGCGGCCGGCTTTTCAGTGAGTTGGCCGGGATATCATGTGCACCCCAATTCCCCTCCTCTCCTTCCCTTCCCCAGAGCCAAACATCTCCCCTCCCTGCTGTCACCCAGTCTCCCTTCTCCTCCAAACTTATGTCCGGGTCCCGAAGCAGCTGCCCAAAGCTAGCACATGCAGGCTAGACGCTGTGTGTGCTGGGGACTATGAGCGGAATGGCATGGGCCGTGAACATGCATGCGGCTCACGGTGGCCTGGCTGTGAGTTGATGCCGGACTATCAGAAGTGCCGGACAACTGGATGCCGGACTGTTGGAGTTTTACTGTATATAACTAGTATTAGTTGTATGGTGAACACTTCTATATTGTCAGCTAAAAAATAATTTCACATTTGTTCTTACTCCAGAAAAGGTGGTTGTAATTTTTCAAGATTTTTTAATATTAAATTAGTAAACATTTAGCGAAGGAAAAGATTTTTGTGTCTTAGGAAATTAATTTACATTTGATGTTAATTTCCAGTTTTATTTAATTACTGTATATTTTTGCTATTAATTATATTTAGAGAAATTGATTATTGCATCAGAGCAATCAAATATTGCATCAGAAGATTATAAATTAAAGTGAGGAATAAGGCGCAAGAACTAACTAGCTCTAAGAAACCTAGATTTTATCTCTGTATTATTGCCCTTTAGTAATAAAAACAAGAAAAGGAAGAGCTCCAGAAAATGTGAGCTATTAAATAGAACCTGTTTCTTAGAGTGTTTTTCTGAAATATTTTTGTAAAAAATATTTGAGGATTATCTTTTGACATAGGTGATGAAGCTTTAAAAATGAAAGTAAATGAACTTCTGAAAAATTGAAACAACTCCAGGAATTGGAAGTTTTCTTGGAATTAACTGCATAATTATAATAAATCCAAAAAAGTTCCAAACTGTTTTTGTCCCAAAGAAATATAATATTCAGGTTTTATAGTAGATTAATGTGCTGTGTTTTAAGGAGAGATGGGCTTGATTTCCTCAATATAGAATTGCTTGTGGGTTTTTTTTGACACAGCCTTAAGCTTACTGTAGATTTTTTTATAGCGTACTAAGAACACTTCAGTAAGTGCATATGATTCCTATTACCTTTAAAACATCAAAGGGAAAATAGGTTCCATAGCTATACCCCAGCTGTGTCAATTAAGAATAAACCTCTACTTTCCATAGATATTTATTATGTAGTTGAAACTGAGCCTAACTGCTGTAGGAACCTCCCTCTCTAAAATGGGTTAGAGACATTTCTGGGTTACAAATTCAGATATCTTTGTGCTCAGTGGGATAAAATGGGGCTATGTTCTCTTACTTCATTCATTCTCTTTCTGAAATATTATGTGTGTGGAATTTAGGAATGCTTGAGGGCGTTGTCAATACTAGAGCAGGATATTGCCAGTACTAGGCACTTTGCTTATCCCTATATGAGTACCTAGGAAACACTTGTATGTATGTGTGTGTATAATTTTCAAAATAATTACATTTTAGCCATTATAATTTTGTTTTTAAGATTAAAAGCGATTATATCATTTTTTGCCAAATTTCAAACTGACAAAGCTTAACACTTGATGTTCCCAACCGAAAATTCTAACTGTAAGGATTTTTTAAAAAAATAATTATAATTCAGTGGCAATACTAACGTCTCTTAATCATGCCTGTGTGTATAGTACCCTATAAATACCTTGCCAAACTGAAGTTTCCACTTCATGAATCTGATGAAGTGGGCATTAGCCCACAAAAGCTTATGCCTAAATAAATGTGTTAGTCTTTAAGGTGACATAGGACTTCTCATTGTTTTGATGAAAAGGCAAACACATGAAACTTGTATAAATAAATACCAAACTTCTTAGTTAAGAACAGTCTGGATTTTTTAAAATGTAAGTAGTTAGACTGAAAATAAAAATCTAATTCTCATTAATGTTTTGAATTAATTGAATTAGTATCCTGAAGTGATACCTCAAAGCTAATGGATACTTTAAGGACCTGTCTATTATAATAGTTTTAGGACATGTTTGGTAGTCTCTTGACAGTGATCATGCACAAATCAGACCCCACTCTATGCTCAAAAATCCTGTAAACTTTAATGAAAGAGCGTCACTCACTATGACTGCAGAATTGGTCTTTATTTCTTGGCAGAATTACCACATTCATTAGTTTTTCTTTGTTTTGTCAAGATACAATGTGCATTTTTTGTATCCTCTACTTACCATTGCACATAGAAACTTATTTTAAAAGAAGGCTTAGGTTGCAAAATCAAGCACTTGAAAGTTTGGAAATGCTAGAATTTAGATGGTTCAATTTTAATTTGACCCCCTTGTGTGTGTACATTATAATAGATTTCCATTACATGATCATATACTACAATTTTGTCCCATAGAGCACCAGACTTATTCAGAGAATGGTTCAGCTGAAACTTTCCAAATACAACTCATTTTGAGGCAGGTGCCCATTTTGGAAAAGTTTAGCCTGAATAGTTAAACTTTCAAAAAATTGTTTTAAAAAGCTACTGAAATCAGGGTCTGATAATGAAGAATGTAAAGTAACCTTAATTGTAGGGGTCACTGTGTGTTACCTGATCCTGTTGCATTTACACAAAATGGTGTTTACCTCTGATAACTAATCGTGGCTATGAAACATGTAAGTGATTACAAGAAAATTGAGTTGTGATGTGGATTTTATGGGTTCTTGCATAGAACCCCCTAAAGTATTACAGAGGCTTTTGCTCTCTTCCAAATAATTGCTGTCAACTTTATTTTTATTTAGCTTATCTGTGAAATTGGATGTGGAGCCAATATCGGTGCCATGTCAGCACTTGCATGCTGCAATGTTAAGTGGAGAATACATTGTCAATAGAATTTTGAGCTGATTTACATAACTAATTTACAGAGTAGCATGATCATGGGCAAAGTAACTTTCAGAGCTGATATTTTTTGTCCAAGATTTAAATTGAAAACAAATATATGCTCTAGGAGTGGAGAGAAGATAAATATGAAAAGCATTATAGGCTAAGATGCCCAAAAAAGAAACTGAGAGTTCCTGGGAAAGAGATTTTAAAAGTAATTAAAATGGACAGAAATCTTAAGTCTGACACTTTGCAGGCTTGCTTAAGCCCTGTGAAGTGGAGTAGAATTGTGGGTGAAATCTTTCTTCTGAAAGACACCCTTAGTCTATTGTTTTATACAAACAAAAGTGACTACAGTTCAGAGGGTAAGGGGAGGGAATCTACAAAAGTATTCAGTATAGTTATTTTTTGCTTCTTGTACAAAGAGCCTTTCTTAAAAAAAAAATGCATTTGAAATAAGAGCAAGAGAAAAGCACAAGAAAAGAGAGGTAATGTATAAAATGATAATTTATGTGTTTGAAAATAACAAAAGGAATAAAAATGGGTGAATTTGCCTTTTATTCCAGTTGAGGAATTAACAGTTAGTGCTGTGCTGTATTCTTCCTTCCATCCGGTGATTTTTTGTCCTCTTTATGGTAGCGTATTTGTTAGCATTGCCATTGGCTGCTGACTCTTTAAAATATGTATGTATTTTTTAAAACTTTTTTTGGTACAAAAATAGATGATGCAGTTTACCAATGAGCTTTATCAGCTGTTACAACTGCTCTTATTTTCTGTTCAGAAAATATTAAACTTGCACGGTGTTCCATGTTGTAGCACTTAGTTGAAGAGAACACTGGGGCATCAAGAACAGAGTGGAAATGGAAAAACTATGGTATTTTTCCACCTTTAGAGGAATAAATAATTGAGGAATCTGCAGAACTGAAATGTTTTTGTTTCATGCTTTAGTCCTACAACTTTTGGAAACGAAAAGCTGTCGTGTATGTGTGTGTGTAATTCTGGTCCAATAGTGCTGGTTACATCACAGGATGAAACCCATTGGGGAAAATTTCATATTGCTTTCCTGTACTTCACCTGAACTTTTCCCACCCTCCGCACAGGAAAAAACACATTGGCATGGATCATGGGACTTTAAAGTGCTGTTAACGGAGCCAGCTGTTAAAACTTTGAATTGTCATGTGTCTGTTATTGTTAAGGTATTCTAGTATTTGTATCTAGGAAATTAGCATTGTCAGTTTGGCTGTAGAGATTAATTTTGATTCCTGCATAACCATGAAGCATGATTTGAGGTACTAGTTTTGACCCATTGTAATCTTTATGCACGGCAGTTCACATATTTGCACATCAAGGGTATTACTCTTATTTAGGTAGCATTGTGGATGTGCACAGTACTGGAGAAAAAATAGAAGACATGGTGGTATCCCTGAGAATTTACTGTTCTAGTTTGTCTAAGAGGTTCAGAGAATTGAAGGTGGCAGTGATGATTTTAGGATAAAAAGGCTTCAGGCAAGAAATCTGTTTGAAAACACTAAGGCTGTGTCCAGACTCCATGCCTCCGTCGACGGAGGCATGTAGATTAGCCAGCTCGGAAGA